AATCTACTTGAATTGCCTTCGAGCTGTTTAATGGTTTCATTGTCTCGATGATGCCTGGACAGTTTTATGGACCACCCTTGGCAACGCGTGGCTCTCACGCTCGCCCGCTTGTTTGTATTAATTTATTTCATTTTGTTGCCACTTTGTGAGCAATTCAAAGGATCTAAACTAATTTAGCAAATTGATTGGAGGCCGCATCCCGCCCAGACTTAGGAAGAGCCGGTTCGCTTACAAGCCATAGAAATACGAATCAAACAAATGCGGCAATTAAATTTTCATATGCGTGCCACACGACCAGGACGCACGTAGCGCCGGATGCCGAGCTCTGAGACGGACGTGCGTCAATTAGGGGCAAGCTTTGGTGGTGGTTGCTCAGCGACACCGTCCGCTGCACACACGCCCACTTGGAGGCATGCCACGTGGCCGCTGCATTGTGCATTGAGTCAATAGAGGTCGGGGCCGGGGTGCGAGTCTCATTAGCGTGGAACCAGGTAAAAGCGCTTGAAGCCAGCCACGTGGCAGCTGCGCTGCCCAGAGCGGAGCTCCATGCGAGCGCCTGAATGGGAACTGAAAATGTTTTCGTGTTGTGTCACCGAACAAATGTTGCACCGCTGACCCAATTGCCACGCCGGGGTCAATAATAATTTCAGGAGCTTTTGGTCGCGTTGTTATTCGTGCGCTCGCCGAAATCGTGAGCCAGCGCTTGGGCGCTCCTTCAAAAAAAATGCAGACAGCTGCACGTGGTGGGCCGCCGGTGGTGGTGGCGCCACAGCTACAGCCACAGCCACAGCGAGCGTTGCTCCTGACATATGCAAAATGCGGCTGCCATAACTGGCAACTGCCAACTGCCAACTGCCAACTGACTCTGCCTCCCAATAGCTGCAATTGCAATTGCCTTTTCTCATGATTTGACTGCGATTTGCATTGGCTTCATGGAAATCTGTCAGCGAGCCACAGATTTATGGCGACGGCTCCAGTTGCCGCCAATGTGGGCGTCACATTATGTTGCCACAGGAAAGAAGACAAGCCGAAGGTGAAGAGGAAAATCGATAGACGAGCGGAAAAGTCTACAAAGCGTCTGCGTTGCCAACGCTCTCCGCCTCCTCCAACCACTCAGGAGAGAGGGAGACAGTTGCATATATTAAAGTCGGCAAATTAATTCAAAATGGCCGCCTTCAAAAAAGCGAGTGACATGCGCGCAGAGAGCGAGACAGACAGAGAGAGAGAGAGAGAGGGAGAGCGTAGTCTCCACTCAGCCTTGGTTGCCAGGCAACGTCTGGCCTGGCCACTTGGCTGGGGGTTGCTTGGCGCCCGGAGGGTAGTCCGGGTGGCCCAGGAACGTCCAGGGTTGCCACGCATCGTAAACGCTGGGAATCGATTGCAGTGGACACCAGATGCAAGCTATTTCGTTGGCTCAACCGATTTGGTACGGTCTGATTGGGTCCCAATGCTATATGCGACAACTGGATGAACAAACCCTATAGGCAGTACGTACGTCCGTATATCAACCCGGTTTAACCACCTTGCAATGCTGCCGCCTGCCACTTGACAGCTGCGCTTTGTGGCAGGCAATCAGTGCACGTGACCGACACACGAGCCGATGTTCTGCTCATTAGGAGAGGCTGACAAGCGTTTTGCCAATCGCGATATGATCATCAAAATGCCAAATCTCTCGCTCGAGCGACAGCAGCAACAGCAACCCTCCTTTAACAACCCACTGTGATTAAGTCCACTAAGCTGCTGTTGCACAGTGGGAAAGTCACGCCAGTGGCATGTCACAGACGGCTGCCACAACTGCAGCAGTTTACAGCTCATTGCATTTCATCACGCTTTGTGTTTGTGCAGAGCAGGAGTCGGACGAAAGTCAGGCAGGCCTGATGGTATTCGAAATGATCTTGCAACACTCGCGGAAGGAATTAAAAGATCTGCTAGGAATATTTCATTTGTTGACTCTAAACTGTCTTTATTCTATATATCAATTTAGATAGGCAGAGGAGATTATAACAGCATGGAAATTTGCCCTTAGTTAACTAGTTTCTAGCTCTACTTTTAAAAGGACAACCCACAATTCTCATCTAAGAATTGACTCTTGCCTAGGAATTTCTGGAATATATCTTTTTATACCCTGAACCCATTGAAAATGGGAAATCAGGGTATAATGGTT